CGTCCGGTTGAAAACTTTGGACTGAGTAAACAGGGCTAGAGCCAGTATTAAAAGTATGAAGTCTACTCATACCCAACTTGATTGTTGAATGTGTCTCATTATATATTCATATTACTTTATGCTGTATGATTTACTCTTATTTGGATTCCTCACTCATTTGATACACCAACTCTATTTCATCATTTTTTTTTTATATTGCATCAAGTGATGTCTGTAATGGAAACTAACTGCAGGTTCTCATTCGAGCGATCCTTCTGAAGAAGTCAGTTTAACGAGTTTACTTTTGATATGAGAGATTTTTTTATCATAATAAAAAAAAAACTTTGAGAATCTGTGAGAAAATAATCAGCCCATTCCTTTAATGTTTCTTTGTTTAGCAAGCAATCGGCTGAGAAGACTTGTTCAGAAATGTAGTTTTCTAAATGGCTCACCAAATCATCTTTCGACATGGAAGCTTTAAGTTCTGGTATTTTAAGCTGTTCCAACTGTACAGGTTGATTACTTAATGATGTGTTTTCTCTATAAATACCTGAGTCAGGGAAATTCATTTGTCTGGATGAAAGATCTAGACCTGCTTCAATAGTATTGCTTGCTCCAGTCGTAGCACAGAGTCATTTAGGATCATGAAATTCAGCAGAGAATTCATGATTCTCACTCAGCTTATCAAATCAAAGGCATTTAGATTCATTTTTGTCTTCCAAGCATGAGGGGGTTTCAAAGCAGGAAGATTCCAAAATGATATATGGTTGCAAACTTAGATATTTTAAACGTAGATCACATTGGATAAGTTTCTTAAAAAAAATGCTTATTTAACAAGCCTTGTTGACAGCATTTTTATACTTTCAAAGTCATAGATTAAGTGTTCAGGTTTCAAATGCTATGGTTGATTGGCAGCAACAATTTAGTTATTTGTTTTCACTTCTCATATGTCCTGATTTTATTGACTATTTCCAACCCTTTGATCAGTTAAATTAGCCAACGTTCAATTTTATTTTAGGTTGAAGGTTGTCTAAAATATTTTTTTTTTCTTTGAATTTAATTAAGTTAAAGTTTCTGATATTAAACTTTAACTTATTAAATTTTATGTTATCAATTAGTTACATTAAAGTTTCAAATTAACTAAAAAATCTTTGACTTAATAAAAGATTTTTTTTTTAAAAAACAATATCAATTATTTAATCAAATTTTTTTAATTCGACCAAAAGAATCTAACTGCTCAAATTTTCAGTAAGTTCAACAGATTTTTTTTTTTTTTAACCTATTGAATTAACAAAAGAACTTTGTTTTGAATTTCCAAAAAATTTGGCTAAGTCCAAAAGTTTCGAGTAAATTTCGGTAGCCTCCCGGCGTCCCCTCCCCGACGCCGCGACGCCGGGAGGTAAGGAGTGACTCGACTCGACCGGAGTGAATCAACGGCGAGGAGATTTGGTCTTCAGAAACTTTGATTGGCGACGA